GGGGGTGGGAGCGGGGACGGGGGGCGCGACGGGCGAGGGTACACCGCGACGAGGACTGCGACGAGCACCGGAGGCACCGAGAGAGAGAGAGCGCGGGGTGAACCGCGCGAGGTCGCGTGTGCTGTCGGACTGAGAGGCCGCCGGCGAGCTGCCCCCTCGCGAACCGAGGAACAGCGTCGTCGCCCGCTGCCGCGCGCTGCTCTCCGAAAGCGTGCGTCGCGCGGCCGCCGTCTTCCCTCGGCTGTCACTCTCGCGACCTGCCTGCTCTCTCCTCACCGCGTCCGAAGCTGGACGTACACACGAACTCTCCTCGATGCCTTACACCGAGAGATAAATATAGTTCGGATTCGCTTTGCTATACTTGGCGTGCTTGGAAGAATGATAAACGTACGAGGCCGATAGCGGCTATGAAATGTAGCGAGATTCCAGTTACCTCAATTCGAATTTTCTTTCTTCCTCTGTCGGTACAGACAGGTGGACAGATGGCCGGGTGGAGGCTGCGTTCTCTTTGAGCGTTCACCGCAAGCGTCGTTCCATCTTTGTTGTTCGTTACGAAGGGATGATAGAATGACGGCGCACGAGTGTCCAGAGGAAACACAGCCAGAGGGAGGAAGAGAGATAGATAGAGAGATAGAGAAAGAGAGAGAGAGAGAGAGAGAGGGAAAGGAGGGATAGTCAGCGCTCCGATTTCGGGTCTAAATAACGCGATGATATCGGCGAGGAACACGGAGAACACGCCATCGGAGGGAGCGTGGCGGGTGCCTCGAGATTCGGTTACCACCGATTAACCCTTGAAGCGAAGTATCGAGCGGGTCAATGACGAGAGAGCGCCTCGATTGCGGAATGGATTGCTTATTTATCCCCATGAATGTGCGTAATGCGAATTGATTAATGGAGTTTCGCCGGTGGCGCGTGCGCGCACTCGGAGGAAACGGCGAAAGTGCAGCGTACATCCCGCAGAAACATCCAATTGAATATCACTCCGGTCTTTCGAGTTAGTTTAAGAGTTTAAGAGTGGTGGTAATTGGATTATGGCGGAGCTAGAGTAGCTCGAGAGCAGCTTCGGAGAAGCGAGAGTCTCGCAGCGCTGCGAGACGGAGAGAGAGAGAGAGAGAGGGGTTCGTGCTTTCGCAGACGAATTTCTCGGCGAGACATGAAATCCTTTCAAATTTCGAATCGAAGCGTAACGTAATTATGTAACAGGGAGCTTGGACAACGATAGCTCGCAGCCGTGCTAGCTGCACTCCCGAAGCCCCCAAACCGCTGGGCTCAAACGAAATTCCGTCCCAGCTGTGACGTGAAACTGAATTACTCGAGCGGCGAGCCGCGAGGAGAGCGAAATGCGCTCGCGATGACGGCGTCGATGAGACGTTAAAATCACTTCGATGCCGCCTGGAAGTGTACCGTAATGTCAAGGTTGAAACTCGGGGAGCTGCTACGCGGACGAATGTGTCGAGTCCCAATCGCTACGGTCGAACGACACTTAATAACTCGACGAAACCTGGAGCAGGACTCGACACGATGCAGGAGGTAATACGAGGAAGCAGGAGGGGAAAAAGGAGAAAGAGGCTCCTTTAGATTTAGGATTTCTATTTATTTGACTGAAATTTGTTTCATCGAAACAACGTATACGAAGTGTTATTTGTTCGGGTGATGATTTTATTGTCTCATTCGAGAGAATTCGATTATTTAACCGAAAGAACGCCGTTATTTGAAATAGTATCTCTTAAGCAAATAAAATATTATTTGGTCACGGTAAATATGTACACGGTAAGTGAAACCAATAATTTCTTTATGAGAAAATCATCTTTCGTTTCCAATTTTTTTTACCTCAGATAAAGATACATCACAGATTATTATACTAGACATACTAGTGTAATACAGATTATTTGTTTGAGTACAAATTTTATCGTCTCATTCGAGAGAACTCGATTATTGAACGGAAAGAACGCTATTGCTTGAAATAATATCTTTTAATCAAATAAAGTATTATTTGGTTATATTAAATGCGTAAAACGAAACAAATTTTTCATAAGAAAATTATCTTTCGTTTCGGACAAATTTGCTTATTTAAGATGAAGATACACATCCGCTGAGGAGTCTAACAATCGTACTTATTAATCGAAACATTAGTTCCTATGGAGCGTGCCAATGATGAAATTTGTTCGGATGCGAGAAAATTGATTAAATTTGATATTTCGTTCTCAGTGAACGAAAGAAAGGGCGAGACGGGGAGGGGGAGNGGGGGGGGGGGAAATGAGAAAGTAAGAGGGAAAGAGGGAGAGAGGGCAACCCTCGGCCAAGTGGTGAAGGCGAGTTAGGGCGAGATGTGCTTCTCCCCCAAGGGAGTCAAGGATTTGCCACCCACGCCGGTGCGTTTTACAGCTTCTTCTATGTCGAGATAGGGCGGACTCTCCGCTTATCCGTACGTGGAGCGGACATAAAGCGGTATCTCGTCGCGTCCACTCTCTCTAATCTCGGTGCGGGAACGAGTCTCGCGATAGCGGGGGAGGCTCGTCGTTTCGCGGCCAAGTCGGCCACGGGAGGGCCAACGGAGAACACGCTCGACCCCGCGAATCAGATGCGCGTTGAACCGCGACGATCGCGACCGTTCATACCGCACAATTGCTCCGATGAAGTTGAATAACACAGCGCGTTTCATAATTCATCTTATTCCTCGCGTTCCGGCAACGCGTTCCGCGAGAACCACCGCGGGAATAAATGTCTGTCCGAGCGGAAGGAATTTCCCGCCGAACGTGGTGCAGCTCGACGGGCCCGATTCGCGACTATCAGCGAGGTCTAAACGGTGCTGAACGGTGCGGACGGACAGTTGATTGCTTCGCTCTCCGTTTTATCGCGGAAACCTTCGCTGGACGGAAAGCATCCAAATCGATGCGCCACTTTGTCTTTGGAGCGGTGGAAATGTAAAATTGATATTCATGTGCGAACCAGCACGCATTATATAACTCTATTAAATGTTATTATTATTACTGTTATATTTTCTTGTGCAAATAACTTTTTTTAAGACGTTTGAAACATGACGTTTCTAGAAACTAGCCTCAAAACCGACACATCCATAATACCTGTAGAACATTGTCAAAGAAATCAAACGAAAGCACCGAAATTTTATTATTATATTATATATTATTTTGTACATTGCATATTCTTTTACGTATCTTTAGTCTTGCGCAGTTTTTAAAACTTGAAAAATTTCCATTTCCGTATAAGATGGACTTGGAGTTCAGCTTCCCAGCCACTCTAGGAATATAAGATACGTTATATTTCTGTATATGCATATCTCTTCGCTGTAAAATAGCATTGTCAAATAAATTACCTATCGCTGATTTGTCAACTTTTTGTCACAATCTTCACGAAAAGATAGCTCAGCAAAAATTTCGGCGCAACGGAAAAGCAAGCGGCATTTATTATAATAATTACTGTTTAAACTTAAATAATTATTTAGAGAATTATTTAAACATCTATTATAATAACACGACTGAACGTGCTCGCGAACAGAAACTGTCGCTTCAGCTTCATCGTACACGAATTAGACGAATTTCACGTACCGTCCGACAGGGTTCAGTATTTTACAAGCAAACAAGTCAACAAGAAACATGAGGTACGTGAAGAAGAAACATGTCCAAGAAATATGTCAGCTTATTATATCTGTATCAATTTTGGTGCTTCTCTTCTAATAATGACTGACGGTAGTTCGACCTGATAAACGAACGCGACGATCGATCGGTGATTATTGCGACGATGTTGACGGGCCTGTGACTGGTGATTAATAATTCGCTAATTAGAACGGGATACATGAGACTGTCATCAATTTCGAGGCGCATTTGCGTGAATTGCCTTTGCGAAACCGTTCATACGATAAATACGTAATTCGATCTCAAGCTTCCCCCCTCTCTCTCGCTTTCTACGTAAACGAGAACGTTGAAATTTGAGACACGCTTCGTGTATAAGATTACAATTCGCTAATATCGCGGGAGAGAAGGAGAGGATCAAAACGATCGTAAAACCGTCGGTACAATCGTGTCGATAGTCGCGCCTGTGTATTTTGCTTGGAGGCAACGACGATCGTCCGGAAAGATTCGCTTTTATGAGATTAGGCTGCGCTCGGATCGCCGAGGCGATGAATTATTGTCTGTTTAGACGCACGCGAATTGGCCGACAGGCTCGAGCTTCGAGTGTAAGCAGAACCGTGCCGGAGGGAGATATCCGGAGGACACGATCGACCCGAAGAATTCCTCTGTTTCGCCGGTATGCACCGGTACGCGCGCAAACTAGAGCCGGCTTAATTTCGCGGATGAGGCAAGTTCATGCGATCATCGGGAAATCGAGAAAGCGTGCGTTCTCTCTCTTTCTCTCTCTCTCTCTCTCTCTGAACGTCTTCAACGGACAAGTAGAACGTAATTCCGCGGCGCAACCGCGATTGACGATACTCCCCGGAATCGATAACGCACATCTACCGAGTCGATGTCGGGTGAAAAATTCCCTCGACAATTCACCGATTTTCCCGGGTAAGAAAGTTTCTGAAGTTCCACGTACTTTTCCCAGTCTACCGGCCGAACACCTCGTAGAGGGAAAAAACCAAAAGTAGCACAGAGGTATGGTAAACCGACATACCCTTGTTTTTTCACTGTAAAGCACTGAACTCGGTCGAAATACGAATTTCGTCTACTGTAGTACGGTAGTTGGGACTATGGCGGTTTCTGTTTGCAAACGTGTTCGGTTTTGTTTCCAGCGTCGTTTGATCTCCCATTGCGCTAAAGGTTTTGTTGAGCTATATTCATGTGAAAATTAAAATAACAAATCG